TAGGGTTTCCCCATGCCTGTAATGAACTTCTCTGCCTCTTAAAAACCTTCCTTCAAGGTTTAGTCAAAATATCACTTCCTAAATTGGGACTTTCCTTATACTCCTAACTACTACTAGTGCCTCCTATGCCATAAAATTACCTTGTATTTGTAAGTGTACAAATGTTCCCAGAGCATTCCATAATTGTTCTCTTCAGGGAAGGTTGTTTAGATTTCTATGGTCAGCCTATACTCACAGAAAATATTATAGAGCGCTACAGAATTAGTGTTCAGTCATCAGAACCTGTATTCCACCAAAAACTCTGAGAGCTTTGTACGCTCCTGATTTAACTTTGTGTGCAGAGATGTTCCAAATGTTGTCACCCATGTCATGACTTGTGAAACTCCTGTACCAAACTTGTCCCCCCAAAAGCAATTGCATGGCACAGCAGCAATTTTATACTAGATAATTTTAGTATACCAGAAAATAATCTGAAAATCCAGTTCATATCTGACTGACAGACCACTGATGAGGAACCATGATAATGCTTATATTTTACATTTGGTATTCTATTTTTAATAGCATGGATTATAGACATTTCTCTACCATACCCTATGATCTCTATGTCAGTGTCTTATCCTGCAGTGAGCCACTAACTAAAAATTTCTGAATTTTTGTCCAAAATAAAAATTCTTAAATCATTCTCAAAATGATTTTCTAACACTAAAGGAAAGATTCTTCTTCCTGTAGATGACTCTACCCATAGTGATGTATTAAAATTATATTATTGATTTCAGTAAGATATCTGCGTATCTTTAGAGATGTGATTGAGAAGAGATTTGATCGCCATCAATACACAGAACAGTCACCTATCATTTGTACTACTCTGTGTTTTGGACCATACATACATACATAAATCAATGGCAAAACTTTTTTCATCAAATAGTTGATAAACTCCCACTTCTAAATTTTATCCTTTCTAATACTCAAGCACAAAAAAAAGAAAGTATGCAACATAGACTTAGAAATATATAATAGCTGAATTTCTTTGGTCATATAACCATTTTCTGCCAGTAGCCTTATCCTTGTCAAAAGTATGTTAAACAGAATGGGTGTTTATATATATATTCACTTTGTCACCTGAATTTTCAGCGGTACCTTTTACTTCAGAAAAAGGTTTGATTTGCTACATCACTTATAGAGAGAAAATGAAAGGTTTACATTCAAGTGTTTAACTTGCATAAAAATAATTCTGTCCTAATAATTCTATCTCCTGTCAAAGACAGCACCATTAAACAAAACCTTTGGAGGCTGACTGTGCTGTTTACTTTGTTGATTAGTTGAGAGCTATAGCTTTCTCTTTCCATAATAATGAACTTGCAAAGATGATGGCTCACTTATGGAGTCTTACTCTAGAAGGGAATGATGATGAGGGAAAAGTGAATGGAAATTAAAAATTAAAACTTGATGAGTAGAAAATCTCTCTAATTTGGTAGTTTGTTGTTTTAATAAATTCAGTTGCCTGCATAACAGATCTTTCCTCTAACCAAATGTTCTAGCCGAAGAATATGTAATGTTTATAGAAAGTGAAAATAAATAAAACAGCTGCTTAGTATTCCACAAATAGGAGATGAAAAGACATAGGTCCCAAAGCCCCTATCCTTTATTCAGGGTATTTATATTTCTTCCTTTGGTGACAATGTGAATTGAAGAAGTCAATCCATATTCCTCTTGAAATCAGTGCTAGCAGCTGTACTGAATACCAAATATGAAATATTCATAGCCTTGATTTTAAGAAGATTTTTTTTGGGGGAATACACATCAACAGAACCAAACATATGCGTGTTGCTGTTTGTTCTTGGGGGTTTTGCCTGCATTGTTTCAAAGCTAAATTGTAAAGTGTTCAGTTGCCCAAATGGATCTAACTATAGTATACTCCCATTGTCCCTCTATTTAAGTGATTGTAGTAAAGGCATAGAATTGCAGAGTGTTTTAAAATAAGTGATTGATGCTTAAGCCCTTCCTCACATCAGAGCTGTCATTTCATTGTCATCTAGATTGTGAAGATCTTTATAGTTTGACTCAAATAAGTTTTATAAAAAAAAAACTGTAGCTTCAATGAATATTTTTATTTAAACATAAGAGTAGAAATGTTCTGATAATGATGATTTTTTTTTTCCATTTTATATTTCTTTAACTGGGTAGTTGATTTTCAGAATTCAGGTGGTTGTGGCTGGGTTTTTTTTTCCCTTTTGATGTGCATGTAATCTGCAATGTTCACCAAAATAAGGATTGGGTGGCTCAGAATGCTGCATTATTTCAGACCAGAAATCAGTAGGAAATAATCAGCATAGTTTTTAAATTAACAAAAGCATTTCTTTTTCTGTACCCCACTCCCCATGAAGGACCATTTTCCAGCAATGTACAATGATCACTGACATGAAACAAGGGAATAGACTTTACCTGTTATTCATTCACCATTTGTTGAAGGTTCACTAAGTGTACAACGCTCTATCAGCCACTCTAAGTGATACCAAGATCACAGAATTCAGGATCTTTGAGTTGCAAGGGACTCTTCCTATGGGGGAGACATCTAGTCAAACAGTGCCCTCTTTGACATCTGCAATAAGCAGTCATCCGTGCTTAATGGGAAAACCTACAGTGAAAGGGTGATAACCTATTCTACTTTTGAATAGCTCTATTTATTAGGAAGGTTTCTTTGCATTGAACCTAAATCTCCCTCTTCAATTTCTATTCATTGCTGCTTATTTTTTTCTTTTGGGACCCAGGATGGCACTGATCTCTTTTTTCTTTTAACCCCATATATGCCATAATAACTGTCATTATTCTTCCTGCTCCCAACCCCCCAAGCTCTTCTTCAGTCTAAAAATCTCCAGTTTCTTCAATAGACTTATATGGAGTGGTCTAGAGGATTCTCCTTATCTTGGTAACCTTCCTCTTGATACTCTCTGGCTTATCAATATCTCTCCTAAATAAAAGGTAGCTTCCAGGGAAAAAAGTTATCATTATCAGAACATTTCTATTTTATATTTAAATAAAAATATTCATTGAAGCTATAGGATTTTTTTTTATAAAACTTATTTGAATCAAACTATAAAGATCCTCACATTCTAGATGATCCTCACATTCTAGATGACAATGAAATGACAGCCCTGATGTGAAGAAAGGCTTAAGCATCAATCACCTATTTTAAACTGAACATAATATTTCAGATATAGTCTAAGCATGGCAGAGCTCTTTCACTTCCTATGTTCTATACATTATGGGTCTCAAATTAGCATAGGATTACATTCATTATTTTGACTGCTGTCCTGCCATTGATTCAGCTTTTTTCACACAAAATGTTGTATAGCTGTCCCTTCACCATATGGCAGCAATGAAATTGATTTTTTGAACCTAAGTATAGAAATGTACATTCATCCATATTAAGTGACATCTTTATTAGGTTCAGCCTGTTTATCATTTAAGTCTGTCGAGTTTTTTTATTTTTGGATCCTGAATTTATCTTCCACTATTTTTGCTTTCCCTCCCAGCTTTATATTATATGAAAATTTGATAAGCATGCCATTTATATTTAAATCAAATTCACTGAAAAAAAATCTCACTAGAAACTTCCTTTCAAGAAGGTAGCATAGGTAGTAGATATGGCTCTTATGGCAGCTATTTAGCTGCTGTGTACATTGCATATATTCCATAACATAATTTTTATCCTTCTGTAGACACCACCATTCATCATTTGAAGTAATTAGCTTTTTTTTTTATGTGAACATCTAGAAAATCCATAGATGTTCAGAGCAGTGGTGCCTACTTTTGGCTCCTGGAGATGGCCCAAAAGATGGAAAATTATTATAGTCAGTTGGCTTTTGACCATGAGTCTGTTGGATTAATATAAGAATACTAAATGAAAGGCCAAGATAGTGCTTGTTTCCTATATTGATAGAGATGTCAAAGAGATAAATGCTTATGTACTACAATTGTAGAATCCTTTCAGGTCTAACTTAGAAGTCAATGTTAAATATACTTTTCTAGTTGTTAATTTAATTTCCTTCCAGAGGAATAGTAAGCAAATATTGTACCATTTGATACCACACATAATATATTTGGCCATTAAAGTTGACTTTAAGTCAAATCACTCTGCAAGATAATTTATTGCCCAGTGGTGCTCTATAAGAAAGGGTAATAGGGTAAAAGAGCATAAAATTTGGTGGATGTGGATACCAAAATACCATTTCACTGCAATAGAATGCTATCAATGCAAATTTCCAAACTAAACTATATAAGCTTCTCTGCTCTGTGTTAAAAATGTCATAGGTTATATATTGAGAGCATCAGTCTTTACCATGATTAATAGTTAGCCTTTTGTCTCTAAATTCTCAATAGAGAAGGCAAATCAGTATTACTGACTTGCTTACATTCGTATAGTTCTTTTTATCTTTAGTACTAGATATGCAGTCATGAAGAACTGAGTTCAAATCCTAATTCTTATGAGACTATTGTTAAGTCAAGTAACTTTTCTGCCCTGCAAAATGGGAAGTAATAACACCTGTAGAAGCTACCTCAGAGACAGGATCAAATGAGATCAATTGACCAACAAGCTTTTATTAAGTGCTTACTATGTTCCAAGCACTATGCTTTGTGCCAAGGATACAAAGATTGTCAAATGAAAAAGATCACTAACGAAATGAAATGAAAATGAAACAGTCCCTTCCTTTAAGTTTATATTCTATTAAGGAAGACATTATATATGTAAATAAGTACATATAAAACATATGCAAAACAAATACAAAGCACATTGAGGGGGAAGGGCTAATTAACGTAAGTAAAGTATTTTGTATTCTATAAATGCTGAGTATTATTATTGGGCATAATCACAACATTCCATTACTCTTAATTTGTATTTTTTTAAAAAGGAACAAGAAGGACTTAGTTCTTGTGGACAAATGCTGTTAGTTACAAATATAATTATTGAATTTATTTTACTGGGATTTGACATTTTCCAGGTGTCATCAAGACTGCCCTTCCCAACATGGATAGAGAGGCTAAAGACCAGTATTTGCTTGTAATTCAAGCAAAGGATATGGTTGGGCAAAATGGAGGACTCTCAGGGACTACGTCTGTCACAGTCACCCTAACTGATGTCAACGATAATCCACCCCGCTTTCCAAGAAGTAAGATACTTTGCTAAGCAATACAACTGCAGTATCTTTGCATCAACAGTCTTTGTTTTAAGATGACCTGAATGTGCAATAGGATATCTGAAAGAACTATGTTAATGTCTTCCCCTTCTCCTAACATCACCAAAATTATTGCTAGCTTAATTTGAAATTGTGCTGTTATTGGTAACATGAATACTTAGCTTTTAATAAGCTTTATAGGACAGTCTAGGTCAAGGGTGGGGAACCTGTGGCCTCAAGGCCACATGTGGCCTTCTTGGTCCTTGACTGAGTCCAAGTTTTATAGAACAGATCCTTTTATTAAGGGGATTTGTTCTGTGAAGTTTGTATTCAGTCAAAGGGCCACACTTGAGGACCTAGAGGGCTACATGTGGCCTCGAGGCTGCAGGTTCCCCACCTCAGTCTAGGTAATTATATAATTAAAAATTTAAACTAGTAGAAAATTTAAGAACTTTTGTTTTAAGTGTGCAAAGATAGACAAATTTGGGGCAAATATGCTATTACATGCTATAGAGCACAAGCTTTTTTACCACTGTTCTGTGCAGGGTGGAATTGAGGGAGGAGGACATTGATGAACCTTTTTGAAGTTAGCTAGGGTAGTTCTTGGACACAAAAACATTGTCTATCTCTGAGTCCATATTTAAAACCTTCCAGCTTGATTTGACCTGCTAGAGTTTATACTCCATTGGCATAGTCTTCCAGTTCCCAAAGTCCTTGTACAAATCACAGGGCCACATTAGAATCAGACTTGAGTGGAAGATATTGTACTTGAATTGAATTAAATGCAGTTTCTTCTATTATGACTAAAATTTCATTTTCATGTTCCATATGTTATAAGGGTCTTTGAATAATGAGATTCAACTTCATTTTAGAAAAAATTGCATATGGAGCAATGAATGACTTATTTTAAGACACAGATAAAAATGTACTAAGAGTAATATTTAGTTTTTCATTTTATATTTCACACATTTGTTTACCTGTTCATGTACACTGCATATTCTTTTAGCATTTCAACCACATTTTTCTTGCACATTCAATGTTTCAAAAGAAATCAATCTAATACCCAGAAAACTACATGCCTTCAATTTATTTTCTTTGAACAAGATGGCATTTGACTTAACCAAGGAAAGGAAGAGGTAAAAATACACACACACACACACACACACACGCACACGCACGCACTCGAGTGCCCACACACTCCAGTTAGAGGTACACTTTGAGGAGGAGGATGGGTGGTAATATCACTACCTTTTTGTAGTGTTTCTTTAAATTGTCAAGAGAAGTTAGAACAAAATATGGGCTCTGAAACAACTTAGCCTAAAGAGAGGGAGGAATAAGGTTGAATTCAAATAGTTCTTCAAAGTTAATAATGTGAAACAAAGAAACATTTAACAAACCTCATTTTCCAGAACCTCCCATCCCCAGTCATGCTCCCTATGCCAACAACCCTTCATATAATTCCTTTGCTGCATTTTTTTTCTATCAATCAAAAAAAGAAAAGTTCTTTAAGATAAAGTCAAATTCTTTGCCATTACAAAATATTTATAAATACCAAAACACCTACTATCAGTGTTGGAAAAAGAAACCCAGAACTTAACCTTTAGTGATGTTACTGGTGTCTTTTACATGTTGAAATAAAAAATGATTTCATAGGCTTAGTTCCCATTATAGACATAAGTGTTCATTTTTTTCCTCTAAGGCTAGAATAGCAAGAGTTGACATTTAGTACTTGTCTAGTTTCTATTGTGATGTTTGGCCATGGTAATGTGAATCTTCTCTGCTTAATGGGTGCTTCGTTATTTATTAAAGCCAAGTAAAGCAAGACTTTCTATTAGGTTTATTTTCTTTTATTGATTTTATAATTTAGACCTTTTTTCTATGACCTACATGTCTTTGCTAAGTAAACAGTTGGAATTTGAAGATAATCACTCAGGAAGCTGAAGCTCATATTACCACTCTAAAAAACTGAGGGGATACTTTTAGCAAGTTACAGATCCCAATATTCAGTTTAAGAGATGATTTATTCTTATCAGTCGGCTTACTCTCTCTATTTCTCTCCTTCCCACCCCACTCCATCCCTCAAAAAAAAACCATACTTTGTACTCCCCTGGAGAGAGATGGCAGTAAGAAAAAGACTCTTTGTGAGCTATAATTCTGTTTCCTAATGGACATGGAATAGGATGTCAGGAGCTAATGTAAAATGAGAAAAGAAAAGGGGTAAATGGTGTTGCTTTTCTAAAAGAGGAAGTTTTAAAATATGATCAGTTTGATTATCAACCTGAGCCAAAAACTTTACATTTTAAAAAAAATATGTAGTTAAGTACAGTGGTCTTCCTTCTCTTCTTTCTCTGTCACAATTAAATGACATTTTAATTCTCTTTGATCACAGTAAACATTATATTAAGTGAAACTCAAACAATATTTCACAAGATTATGTCTCATCTTGGTCAGCCTCTGAAATTAAATCTACCAACTTATCCCATATTAATTGAATTGTACCTATTGGTAGTAATAAAATAATTCACAGTGATTTTATTTCTGTATCTCAGATCCATAAAAGACATGCTACACCTACATCATTATGTTTTCTTTAAATAAAATAAATTGTTTCATTAAACAGAAATGGAAGATGGAAGGTTTCTTTTCTTACCTGTCAGTAGGCCATCTGTTTATGTTTTCACATAGTGATTTGGTTTCCATCATATAATCTTAGCCATCAGACTTCTTAAAACTATCTAAGACTTCCAGTTCAGCTCATTGCTTCATCACCTTACATATACTGAGATGAAAAAAAAAAAACAACAGAACAAAATGATCATAGATTAATAGTTTTGATGTTGTTGTTGTTGTTGTTGGGATAGGTTAGTTTGGTGTCAGCTAAGAAGAGGGAATAATATGTGCCTCCTGATAATAGAAGACATTATTTTCAGTCCTTGTTTTAAATTTTGTAGGGTCTTACCAATACAATGTCCCAGAGTCATTGCCTGTGGCATCAGTGGTGGCCCGAATTAAAGCTGCTGATGCTGATGTGGGACCAAATGCAGAAATGGAATACAAGATTGTGGATGGTGATGGCCTGGGAGTTTTCAAAATTTCTGTTGACAAAGATACACAGGAAGGAATCATAACTATTCAGAAGGTAATCTTTTGTTTGTTGCAGTTTTTGTTTTGTTTTGTTTTTAAAGACCACAGTCCATAGCCCTGAAGGAAAAATCTCTCAGTGAAGATCAGGGTTGGCTTTGTTAGCATGTGCTAACTGAATGTGCTACATCAGGGATTCTTTACCTGGAGCCTGAACTTTGTGTTTGTTTTCAATATTTTAATAACTACTTCAGTATTAGTGATTTCCATTTTAATCCTATGTATTTTATTTTTAAAAAAACTTCTTCTGAGAAGGGGTTCACAGGCTTCACTAGACTGCTAAAAAGGGTCCAGTGACACAAAGTAAAGTTAAGAATCCCTGTAGTACATCAAGTTGAATTGCTTCTTCATGTCTCTTCCCCTGAAAGTAATCTACATTTATGTCAGGTACTTATAGGACCTTGAATAACTTTATGTGCTGCTGATTCCTCTGTTTCATTCTCTAGTTGAATCTATAACCCTTATCTATAATGCTGAAATAACTAGGATTGTTCAAAATTATGCCATTCTTGAATGACCTACTGTCAGAGTCAAACTTCCATAGACATTATCTACTCTTTAATCCTTTTCATCTTCTTTTCCCATCTGAACATGGAAGACATTTCTCAGAGTTAAAGAACTTTTCTCATGACAAAACTATACTTTTAGAAGTTGTGGTTCTATAATAAGTATAATCCTTGAGGCTCTTTGAATTTTCTTCTTATTAACAATGTCAGCTTCTAAAAGGACTTAGCAGAATATAATTCTTATATGCTGAATTTATAAAAGTAGAGAAAATTTTAAAAAAATAATATGAATTAATGTTAATGGGCCATCCAAATACAATTCAATTCAAAGTGTTTGTAAAGAATATACAAGTGCAATTTGTTGTAGTAGGTGCCAAGAAGAAAAAGATAGATTAAAAAATATAGATTTTGATCTCAAGAAGATTGCTGTCTTTGTGACAATGAATTGAAAAGAGATACATACAGACATAATTATGATAATAAGGAGAATGAGCTGTGATCAGTGTAAGAGAAGAGTTCAGAAGTGCTATGGGAAATTTAGAAGACAGAGAGAGCACAGGAGCCACATAAGTAGCTCTATGGCCCCTATTTAAAACAATCTCCCTCTAACAGTAATATAAGGGACGCAGCCAGTAATAGCCTCAGAAGGTTAGAAATATACTCTAAACATTTATAACCGTTATATATCTTATGTACTAACTGAATTCAATTATGTAATAACTGAATATGTATTATTTATTCTTATATATTTCTATTCTTGTTAAAAATGTAAAATGTCATGTGTATATGCATATACACACATATAAAACACCTGTGTATTTATATACATAGACACATATGTACACCTATACATACACACACACACACACACACACACACACACACAGATATACAATCATGTGGTAAAACCTCCAGAGGAGTGAAATGTTCTGTTCTCTTTTGTTTTTTGTTTTTTTCTGAAATGTGTTTCATGGAAATATGTTAAAATTTTGAGTTTATGCTTTATACTGTTTAATGATTTTACAACCTTCTTTATTTGAGCTATTCTCCTTCTATGAGATAATATTTCTATTTTTAATGAAAACTATATTCTTAAAAATAATGCCTATCCTTACCATTTTATGTATTCTGAAAAAAGCATAAGTAACTGTTCAGACTCCTGTTAGGAGACCTGATTTGGGGTACTCTCACTATTAATTAACAATATGACTTTGTATCAGCCACTTAACCTTGGTGAACTTCAGAATCTTCATCTATAAAATGAGTAATTTGGACTAAGTAAAGTCTAAAGTCCTTTTAAATTCTAACATTTGATACATCATAAAATTGTTGCTAAAAGTAATGGCATTTTAAAAGTACATTTGATGTGCAACTTTTAATTTTTTAACATTTTTAACATTTTTTATTTAAAGTTTTGAGTTCCAAATTCTATGCCTCCCTCCTTCCTTTCTCCTCTTCCCCCCTTCCTGAGATTGTAAGCAATCAGATATAGGTTATACATGTGCAGTTATGTAAAAGATTTCCATATTAGTTGTTTTGTACAAGAAGGCTCAAATAAAAAAAAAAGTGAAAATATCATGCTTTGGTCTGTATTTAATCAATACCAGTTCTTTTTTCTGTAGGCAGATAGTATGTTTCATCATTAGTCCTTTGGGATTGTCTTGGATTGTTGTATTGCTGAGAATAGCTAAGTCATTCATAGTTCTTCATCAAACTGTTACTGTGTACAACATTTTCCTGATTCTGTTCACTTCACTATGCATTAGTTCATATAAGTCTTTCCAGGTTTTTTCTGAAATCATGTCTTTTTTGTTTGTTTGTTTTTTTAGGCAATTGGGGTTAAGTGACTTGCCCAGAGTCACACAGCTATTAAGTGCCTAGTGTTTGGTCTGAGGTCCATATTTGAACTTAGGTCCTCCTGACTTCAGGGCCGGTGCTCTATCCACTGCACCACCTAGCTGCCCCCTGGAATCATTTCTTATAGCACAATAATCCTTTACAATCATATACCTCAGCTTGTTTAGCCATTCCCCAATTGATGAGCATACCTTTGATTTCCAATTCTTATGTATGTATGTATGTATGTATGTATGTATGTATGTATGTATGTATGTATGTATAGATGCACACACATATAATACATACATACATACACACATATTTATATGTTTATATATACACACCTACATGTATACACACACACATACACAGAATGAATGAATGAATACATTTCTTTCCCCCACATTGCCCAAGAAGAAAGCCCTTATACCCCTAATGTCTGGCCCTGGACCTGAAAAGAAAGTGGTAGAAGCACTCATGTATACATATTTTCATCTGTGACAGCCTTAGAGAGGAGAATCGGGTGCTTCAAGGTATGAGAGTTCCTGAACTCCAGATTTCTGAATAACCACAAGCCCCCTTCTACTCTTTCTTAGTTTCCTTATACTTTATTCCCTTTTGTGTATGCTGAGGTCTAGTTATACTGATCAACCTGCTGTTCCTCACACACAATACCCAGTTTCCCCTCTCTGTACCTTTGCACGAGCTATCCTCCAAACATAGAATGCTCTCCCTGCTAACATTCATCTCTTGGCTTCCTTCAAAGCTCAACTCAAATCACACATTGTGCAGGATGCTTTTCTGCAAACCCATTCCCAGGCTACCCACAGCTAGAGCCATCTTTTCTAAGTTTACCTTTCCATCTACTCGTATGTGCATATATTACATGCACAAACACACATACACACGAATATATCCTCATTTGAAATTTGAATTTTAACACTTTGAAGGCAGGGATCACTTTTGTTTCTTTTGTTTTTGTTTTTCCTCTTCTTTCATTGTATTTATTCCCAGTTCTTAGCACAGTCTCTGGCACATAGCAACCATGTAATAAATGCCTTTTGACTGAATGAATAGAGGAGGAAGGAGTTCTTGGATAGTGACAGCCACTTTTGGTGTGAGTGGAGAAAAGAGGTCAGGTGCAAGAGATGTAGAATAGATAGAATCAGGAAGTCATTAACTGTAGATGGGAGATAAATTAGAATGTGAAGTTGAAGATTCCTAGGTTTTAAACCAAGATGACTGGAAGAATGGTAATACCCCTGACAGAAATAGGGAAGTTGGGAGGAAGGGTGAGTTAAGGGAGAAGATTAAAGAGTTCTGTTGTGGACATGCTGAGTTTGAGATACCTATGGATACAGTTGGAGATGTATTATAGATCATTGTTTTAGATGCAGAACTAGAGATCTGCATGAGTATGATAGTTAAATATAAGAACCACATACAATCAAAAAGAGAGAATTTATAGAGAAAAGAGAAGGCTCATGGTAGAACCCTGGGATATATCCATACATAGAGCAGGATATAAACGAATGGAATTGGATATATGGAGTGAATGGGACGAAGGAATCAAGGATGACACTGAAATTATTAATCTTGGTTACTTAGAGTATAGATGGATCCTTGACAGTGACAAAAGAGATGAGGGTTTTAGGGAAAGAAAATTATTTCATATTGAGATGCCTACAGGACATCCAGTTTATAATTGTCAATAGATTACAGCTCAAGAGAGAGGATATAGATCTGAGAATCATTTGAGAATATAAACATTAGGATTTATCCATATCAATCATTAGAGTCTTCAAAAGAGAAGTTTATGTTGGCTTATAGGACTGGAAGTCCAATTACAATGGGTTGGTAAGTGATTGGGAGGTAAGAAAGTATAGGCAAAAAGTTTAGACAGAATTTTTAACAAGTAAAGGAATTTGAGGATATTTTGAGGGAATAGTAACGTCAGGTAAGGTCAAGTGAAGTTTTTTTTTTTTCTAAGAATGGGGGAAATCTAGCCATGTTTGAAGGCAGCAAGAAAGAAGCAAAAGGTTGAAAAGTAGAGAGAGAATGGGAATAGTTGAAGGGGCAAGTTCTTGGATAAGACAGGATGAGATTGTATCAAGGGTAAAAGTAGAGGAATTGGTGGTGGCAGTTATAGGATCCACATTATCCCCTGAAAATGTGATGAAGGAAAAGGGGTATGATGCTGAGGTTATCTGAAGTATGGAACGAATAGAAGTATAGCGGAGTTCATTTCATTCATATATGGAAAATAAGATAAATACCTCAAGCTGGAAATATAAATCAATAATGATATCACAGCTATTTGTCTCAATCTTTTCAATAAATTATAAGTCAAAGTCCTCCTGGATGAGATAGGGCTGGTAGTAGTGTAATATCAGAGGTATCAAACTCCCTGCCTAAATGGGAAAACTCCTGATTGCTACAGAAACCAGATTAAAATGTAATTGGGAAATATTTAACACATGCATATATATGTATATGTATGTACATATACTAATATTTACATATTTATATAAAATACAGCATAGATGATGTTAATTTGTGGATTCATAAGTCAATATGTGGCCTTCAGGGAACCATTTCTTTTTGAGTATTACACCACTGGTGCAGATGGCTTGAGAAAAGGTTTGGAACAGAG